TTAACTAACTAACCACGTTATAAAATCAAATTATACTTAAATAGTGTTTACTATACACAGAAATGAACACACTTAGGTAGATTTTAAATCTTTCAAAAACATTCTTAATGCTTTCCAAAATCTAACCCTAAGAACACATACAATACTACAACATATGTTGGTGAAACCTAAACTAAAGAATATCATGACACACTACTTTGATTCATCTATGCTGAAAACAACTCACTTTTGTTATATCTTAATTTATATCTCTTAAGACATATGGTAATTACATAATACCAATTTTTCATTTATCAAAATATTTATTACAAAATTTTTAAATTATTTTTAAGAAAAACTGACCCAGACGACTTTCAGTTAAGTCGTCTGGACGACTTATTTGAAAGTCGTCTGGGCAGACGACTTACGAGGGCTAGAAACGTAAAAAAAATTCGCGTTTTTTGTTTGTTCACAAGGAGTTGGTTGTAATTTCAATAGCCTTTTAAGTTACTTTTGCATTTGATTCAAGTTTGGGTTTACTTTTGCATTTCAAATCAAGTTTTGAGTCATATTTGGCAATTTTCCCTTTATCCTTTCCTACAATGATTGAGATGTTTGCTACAATGCTTAAATATTTGGAAACAAAAAATACATATACTGAATGACTGAGGAAATTCATTTTTAAATGAATATTAGATTTTAACCCGTGTTTTTCAAGCGCAAAATAATTTTTTGATGAAAACTTTTTATAATCCTATTTTGTCTACATTTAAAGTAGGTTTAAATATAAAATTTGTAATCCAAAGTTTAAATTGAACTCAAACTAACAATTCGATCTATATTCGGTCCGAAATATAAGAAATTGGGTCTCTTAGGGTGGTACAAAAAAAGTCCACACTCGAAGTTGTTATTAGACAAACTTGAACGGATAACCCAAAAACTAAAAATCCATAAATTTTAAAAATTGATCTGAATGTCTAAATTAATCATAAGTATAAATATTTGAAACATAACTATATATGTACTTAAAATATTCAGTTCTATATATATTTTGTAATGGTACCTAGAATAAGTATTTAAATTTAAATGAAATATTTTATATATCCAATTATATATAAATAAGTGTTTACTTCTTATGTTTTGATTTTAAATTTAAGATTTAATTTCGGATATGTTTGAACCGGTGTATTATATTTTAACATAATCCGTATTTAGAATGTAACTTCATTTTTTTCTTATATTTTTCAATTTCATTTTATTATAATATTACAAAAATATTTATTAGAATATAAATTAATTATACAGCGTTCAACCCGTCTTATAGTTGATAAATATTTATTTTTTTATGAAATAAGATTCAAAAACTTGTAACTGTAAATCATAATATATTAATTAAATATACTATATAATCAAATAGTATTAATGTCCACTAAATTCAATTTTATTGTAAATGCAAATAAACTAAATTATATGTTAATATGATAATTTAGCTATTATGTTAAATATAAAAATTATTTATGCCTCTAAATATTTTATTTTAATATTTCCATAAATAAACTGATATATGTTGTAAACTGTATAAATATATGTTATCATGCATATGAAATTAGTTTATAATTTATAAAATAGTTGTAATTAAATTATGTTATATATATATATATATTCTTTGTTGTAATAATTTAATTAGGTATGAATTATGTATACATAAACATTATCGAAATGGTATTTTTATTTTATAAATTAAAATGAATTAATAATTATATGTAATAAATTTTAAAATAATTATGAATTTCTATTTTAATATAAATATTAAAAAAATAAATATATATATTTTAAATAAAAATATATTAAAAGTTTTTGTCAAAAATGTAATAGTAGAAAAGATATTTGGTAATATCTTTTGATATCTTATTTTGAAAATATTTAAATAATATTTTAAGATTATGTATATTTGATTATATGGATCAACCAAATCCTATTTTTTTATATAATTATTAGACCATTGTAATTGCAAATCCAATAAGACAAGTCTATCTAAATCAATTATTAACACATATAATAAATAAAATATTGATATAAACAACAAATTGTTCTGTGTATAAGTTACCCAAAATTTCAATCCGGTAAATATTCAAAATATATACTACCAAAATTATATTAAAATGTTGATTTATATAAATTTAAAACAAACACCCGTGCAGACGCATGTATTAAAATCTAGTATATACTTATAAACTTGATCAATCTGCATAAAGTTGAATAAATACATACATTAACTAATTTTATTATGAATGTCGATCGAGAATAAGAAAATACTTAATATAGCCATACTTTACATTCGTAGAAGTAATAAAATGTTTAAAATTAATAAATATATTAAATTTAATTTTATAGAAAATTGATGATAAAATTACATATTTGTTTTTCAAAAGATTGATAAAACTGTTTTTATACTATAATTAAATTTTACAAAGTATTAATTGGTAACCACCTAGTATCCAATATACAGAACGATTCTCGTATACAGAACCAATCCTAAATCCGTTGAAACTCAAAACTGCCATCGGAGAATGGTTTCACTTGAGCAATACCTTGAGGATGAGATGAACTTTACGGTTCATTATTCTCCTGAGTTCTTCATTAGCCTCTATTCCTATCCTCCTGTAACATTGGCATAAGGTCACAAAAGATCAGTTACGAGATAAGTTGAAGAATCAACAAGCCTATGATCTTGTTAGCTATTACCCGATTTTGGAACCGCTCTTGCCCACAAGAATCTTGCGTTGGCTAAGTTTAGGAGTGATGAGATGCTGCTCGATCCTTAGAGACCCGTCTCGCTGCTCTCTCCAGTCTACTAGACGGTGCTCCACGCCATATGGTACTTCCTATGTTGTCGCTCACGATCGTGTAAGTTAGAAACCGATACAGAAGATTATTCAAGCATAGGTTACATATATATTTATTACCTGATGAACATGGTCTAGTAATCTCTCCCTAACAACTTCAAGAGAGATGTTCTTCATCACTTCTTCACTCATTGTGAATGGATCTTCCTCCCATGGTTTTTGTACTGCCTGGTCCATTAAATATTGGCTAACTTCTTTGACTCCAGATCCCTTAAGTCCTGATATCATGAAGTACCTTGAACACCAAACAGAAAAAAAAAATGATTATTTCAGTTGCAAATCAACTGTTAGTTGTTCTTCAGGTGAATGAGCTATCTACCTTTCATATGCCGGGAGATTTTGGAACTCCTCAGCAACCTTTAACAGATCCTTCTTCTTCTCAACCAAATCAACTTTGTTCATAAATAAAATGCGCTTTTGTTTTGGATTTGCTTCCTCTCCCATGTATGTGATCAAGCGTACAACTCTTGAATCCGGACTATTACCAATTAAACATAAACATAATTTAAGTTTATGAGATAATCTCAGCGCGATGCTAGTAAGCCCATAACTTAACATCAGTTACGAGATAGCTTTGTCAAGAAAATGACGAACCAGGTGAGATGCCTGTGGACATCAAACATAACAATGAGGACATCAAACAGGTCAACCGAGGTCCAAGCATTTTGCACACGAGCCTTGATGTCTTTGTAACCATATCCGCTTTTCTTCAACATTAAACCCGGAGTATCAAAGAAACACTGCAAAAGTACAAACATCACTCTACAAAAATGATTGCATTTAACATTAAACCAAGTAGTTTATATAATGAGAAAGCTTACAACTTGTGTATCCCCTTTTGTCAACACTCCCAACACTTCATGGGTAGTCGTGTTGGTCTTCCGTGAAGCAGCTGCAACCTTTGTTCCAACCTGTACACACATTGCAAAACTCTCAACACAAAGGACAAAATCACACTACCAAAGACCATAAAGTAACCAACTTTACGATTACACAAGAGAGTCATTGTCTTAAAAAGTGAAAGATCGAACCATGAAGTTAGTGAGGGAAGATTTGCCGGCGTTTGGTGGGCCGATGATCCCGACGTTAAGCGACTTCTGGTCTTCTTCTCGAACCTCACCTTCACTGAGTTCGTCATCAGCTGACTCAAGCGCCGCCTCAAGAAGAGCCTTTGCGAGAATCCTCGACCGATCAATACTATCATCATCCTCATCATCATCTTCTTCTTCCGAGCTGTGTTTCTCTTGTGGAAACAGCTCTCTCTGTACTCTTGCTCTGTACCCTTTATCCCAATTGGGTTGCTTGGGCTTCCTCACGGGATATTCGATTGAGTATTGGCTGCTATCGAAAACAGAGTCTCCGTTGACGGAAGTGGGTTCGTCTAGATTCGGCTGCGCCGAGTAAAACCGGTGGAGGAAGTTCTGAGGAAGATGGGTTTCACTAGTAAGTGTTGTCTTTCGTGAGATGGAGAATAGTATTCGCAGAGATCTAACAGCTTTCATTTTTTTTAGGAACAATGGCCAAGTAGCGATCTCGACTAAGCGCAGAGGAGTCGAGGGTTTTAGAGGTTTTAAGTTACTTGTCGAGTGGCATGGCGAGAAAGCAATGAAATATTACAAGATAGCACCTTGCTGTTTTCAATATACGCAACTTTGCACGTCTAACTTTGTATTTGAGTTATTTTACACATTGAGAGATATAGAAAACTTTGAGGAGACTTAACAGTATCAATGTATTGGGCTAAAATATTAAAACAGATGCAAGGGTGTATCTATATTATATAGTATTTGTTGAATTCAGAAGAAAAGAGACAACTGGTTCAGCCTATGAAAATCTGAAACAAAAATGTGAGTCAAAGACTTGTTACAAAACCCCATCATCATCGCCTTTCTTGGATAGTGGGTTTGGTTTGGTGCATGCTCTAAAAGGCCATCTACCCAGCGAGCCTACTCTCGAAATATATCAAACTAGGTGATTTTCCCGTGCTCATGCACGGGCATGTATATTTATAAAATAAATATATAATAATAACTGATTGATATTTACTTTAATTTTTAAATTAATTTATAGTTTGTATGTCAAATTTATATTATAAGATTATATTACTTTAATTATATATATAATTTTAGATTGATATGTTATAGTCTGTTTTATTATTTTTACGGTCGATTTAGTTATCATTTAGATATATTGGATTCTATCTATTTCTTTGAATTCAACTATAATCTTTTATATTTTAAATATATTAATTTTTTGATTAATTATCTTATTTGCAGTTATGCTAATTGTTATCTTAGAATATAAGTATATTTAGTGAGATTATATATAATTTAAGATTTTTTTGTGCTTAGAAGGAAAAAAAATAAAAAAATGAAGTGTCTGATTCTAAATTACATACATAAGTAAGTGTTATAGTATTTTAAAATAGTTGTAGTTACTTGATCAAAAGATGTTTATTATTAAATTTATTTTTAGTTTTATTTTTAGTATCTCTTAAAATAGTAAGTAAAAAATGTTTTTTTTTGAGAAATTATACTATATAAGTAAAATAGAATTTATATTTTTACTGTAATTGTAAGATATTATAGTCAAATAAATATACTAAAAAAATAATTTCAATAATACTAATTATAAAAATGTCAATTAAACGTATATCAGTTTATGTTAGTTGATTATTTTATGTAATCATCTAATAAAATATATATATATATATATACAAAAATAATTATTTTGAAAATATAGCTATTTTATTGTTTAAAATTATTTTTTTAAAGAAAAAATATTTCTTTTTCTAGTAGCAATATTTTTGTGTGAATTTTTTTTATGAAATCACATTATATACAGATATTGTTTTTTTTATCTAAGAAGATATAGATATAAAGTATTATATTACTTCAAAGGTATATTTTATGTTATTTAAAATATATTTAAATTAAATATTACTATTTTGTGAACTTTCCTTTTTTTACTAAACCATATTATATATACTTATATTTTCGTTTTTAAATAGTTTTGTAAATTTTAATAATCTTTCCTTTTTATTTTATATTGTTATTTGGAAATTTTTAAAAAGGAAATAATATTTAATTGTATTTATAATTCATTAGGGGTATCATAGTAATTAACCAACATGAAAGTTAACGTGAGCACGACACCTAAGAAAGTGACTTCTCAAATAATATTATAGAGATCTCTAAAAACAAAGAATTATAAGCATATTTTTCTGATTAATTTTAGAAACTTTTTAAAACTAAAATTCTAAATGTTTCTCTTGAATCTCTTATGATACTCTCTCTTATATCTTATTGAACACTTCTGCATAAGACCTACATAAATATTTATAATGAAAAAACAATTTCTTTAATATGTGGGATATGAAAACACAAACATAACATAAATAAAAAACTTCATTTTCCTATTCTAGATTTTCTTTTTATGTTTATCTTAACATATTAAACAATTATTTAATATGTTAAGTTTCCACAAATTTGAAATTATCCAACATTCACCTCCTTAATTCTAACTTGAATTAAGAAGATCAATTTCTTGAACTCCAACTAAGCTTCTCATTTGTTTGAACTTAATCTTTGCTAATGGCTTGGTAAAAGTATGTCAGTCTTCTACTCAATACCCGACACATGCTCCACTCGATTTGCTCATTCTCCACACATTCACGAATGAAATGAATCTTGAAAGTTTATGTTTACTTCTTCCATGGAAAACCGGATTCTTAGTTAGAGTAATGGCTGATTTGTTTTCGATTCTAAGTATGAAATTCTCGTCTTCTTCACTTAGTATCTCACACAACAACTCCTTGATCCATATAGTTTGCTTTGCTGCTTTTGATGCCGCCATAATGACAATGCGACCGTCGGTTGCTTCTGCGATGTCCAAGTAATCAATGATGAACCATAATAGAATGCATGTCCTTACGTCATCGACATCAATGTTGTGACTGATGTTACTATAACCGATGACACTCATTGACCATTTTTCTTGAAGAACATGCCGAAGTTTGATGTTCCTTTTACATATCCCATTATGTGTTTGATGTCTTGTCCATGAGAGTCTCTCAGATTGTGCATGTGTCGACTTAAAACTCCCACTGCAAAATAAAAATCTGGTCTTGTGTGAAGTAGATACCTCAAATATCCTGTGATTCTTCTAAAATCTGTAGGATTTATCTCTAGTTCATCTACAGCCTTTAAGATCTTTAAAGTCGACTCCATAGGTACTTGAGTCGCTTACCCGCTTCCATCTTTGTGTCACACAAGGTTCCTTGAGCGTAACTCTCCTCCTTTATCTTGATTCCATCTCCTCCTTGAATCTTGTAGATCTACTTTAACCCTGTAGATTGAGTATCAGCCGGTCTATCTACAATCTCCCACATCTAGTTTCTTGTGTAGATTCTCGGCAACCATAGTTTCAACCCATAAGTAGTTCGACATCTCCAACTCAGACGAGGCAAACTTTCTTCCTCTATCGGTGCAACCTAGATTGAAGTTGGCTGAGGCAAACTCTTCTCCTTTATCGGTGGGAATTTTTTTGAACCATAGAATGCCTCACGATTATTTGCAGGAGTTGATGGTGTGATTCGTTGACACAAATCTCCATGCAATAATTCCAATAGTTTCGACGTACGACGCATGGCCTTAGTCGAAAATGAGTCTCTGGTTTGTTTCCTTGCGAGACATGCATTACACACGCCTTCTCTGTGTGTTACACTCGGGAATGAGTGTCTGATTTTCTTATGTACAAGACATGCGTCAGAAATACCTTTTTCGTGTGTTACACTTGGTATTCCTACGACCATCTTGTTCCTTACCATGTTGTTCATCACTCCATAGCTTATATGTCCTAGTCAAGCATGCCACCTCCTCGTAGCATCTTCATCTCTGATATGTAAACACTCCGGGTAGCTAATATCCATTGGGGTCTTGTAGAGACGATTTGGCGATCTTGTAAAATGTACAAGCAACCTTCGACACAAATATGTGAGTGTTAAATAAATATTATCCATGTTAACCTCACATTCATTTTCTGTTGCTTGACCAAGACTCAATATGTTGTGCTTCAGGTCGGGTATGTAGTATATGTCTTTGAGTGCCTTCTTCTCTCCAGTCTTTCACACAAAGTTAATCACACCTTTTCCTACAATATCAACACACGAACCATCACCACAATTTACCTTCCCTTTGGTGTTCTGATTCAAACACAAAAAGATCTCCTTGTTCCCCGTCATGTGATTGCTCGCTCCATTATCCAAATACAAAACACTTGTATCGCCTTTGTTGATATCAAGACTCTTAGGAATCACTTTCTCTTCAAGAACAACACCTCATCTACATAGAGTGCATCGCCTCTTGAGTCTCATTTAGCTTGGTTTCTTAGTTCTTCAATGATTTATTGGGATAGACAATTGCACAGTGACCCGGCTTATCACATCTTGAACCTATCACCTTTGAATGATCTTTCTTCGAGTTTTTGTCCTTGGTGTGTGAAACATTGTTTTGGTTGTGTAACCTACCTTGACCTCCGCCTCTGTTATTCAGTCCTCTACCTCTACCACGGAAACTCTCATAGCCCCTCTGACTATGCTGGTCATTGATTGAAAACATGAGCTTCCCTTGGTCTTCTTTCTGAGTTTCTTCTCCTACAAGCTCATTGCACGCCTTAATCCTTCCAACTATGTCTTCAAAACCCGTAGAGTTGAGGTCTAAGACTTTCTCAAGTGACGCCACAATATGGATATACTTGTGTCTCGGAAGACCATTCAAGAACTTCTTAACCATCTTGGTATCTTCTATGTTCTCTCCCAACGAGGCTGCTTTGGATGATAGGCCCGATATCTTCCCAGCGAAGTTATCGATCATATTATTATCATCCATTTTAAACCTATCAAACTCCGTCCTTAATGTCTGAATTCTCGCCTCCCTTACACGATTAGCTCTAAGTTTTCGTTGATTTGATGGTGTTCCAGATGTCTTTTGATGTAGTTTGTTCTCTCACCTGGAGAATCAAAGTTTTGGGAATGGATTGAAACAAAAGAGCAGTGACGACATTGTTCTTCTTCTGATCATCCGAACCTGATTCTAACGTGTCCCACACTTCATGAACACAAAGTAACACATTCATCCTCATTAGCCAACCAGTCTAGTTTGTCGATGACAACATAGGACATTGGATGGACGCGGATCCAAAGTCCTTTGTGCATGGAGCCCTATTCACGTCAGCCATCTTGCCTTCGCGATCTCTGCTTCACAGCCACCAGGACATAAGCTTCAACTTAAGCTTAGATTAAGTCTCCAACCTGGCTCTGATACAAATTAAAATCTCTAGAAGCAAAAAATTATAAAACATATTTTCTTATTAGTTTTAAGAACTTCTCAAAATTGAAGATTTCAATGTCTCTCTTAGATATCTTATGATCTTCTATCTTAGTCTTATGGAACACATCTCCAAGAGACATATATTTATAGTGAAAGATAATTTTCTTAACATGTGGGA